ACCCATCAGAATTACAGCAGACTTCTTGGCACAAACCATCAAATCATGAAGAACATGGGGGGAAATAATTCAAGCTTTGAAAGATAATAACCTCCAGCCAAGATTGATATATCCTGCAGAATTGTCCCTAGAAATTAATGGAGAAGCAAGGTGCTTCCAGGATAAAGAGGAACTAGGGGAATTTGCAACCACCAATTCAACTCTACAGAAAATACTGCAGGACATTCCAAAAAAGAAAAATACCAAGATTCCAGAAACAGTGGCAGAGAGGCCACAATGAATGGAGCAGAAAGCGAAAGGTTTACTTTAGAATGCACGTGAGAGGACTAGACCAGCCACTCTCCACAGGGTTTTCCCTGGGGTCGGGGCTTCAAGGAAAAGGAGTGAGGTTACCCACTAGGGGCAGGCATGAGAACACACGGGGAGTTGTGCTTGCTTGTCAAGCACGAGGCTGATTAATGACAAGATCGGTGGATTTCAGCTGTGGTCACTGGGCCTTAGCAATCCGTGATTACACACTTCGAGCAGGTACTCAAGCCCAGCAAGGGAGGGGAGGTTTAGTGTGATCTCTGCTCAGCTCAGAATGGTAGCAGTCAGATTCCTTCCCTTCACACAAGCTAAACTCTAAGTAAATGATTGCTATTATTAGAATTAGTATTATTACCCATGTCTTTTCCCCCTTTGCTCAACAGGCCCATTAATATACATTTTGAAGGCTTCTGATATTACCTCCACCAGCATGCTTCCCTGATAATATGATTTTTATTTCTTCCAGGTAAAATTCATAACTTCTTTTTCCACATTTCTTTGAGATCTCATATAATTTGTTTTTTTTGTTTTTGTTTTTGGTTTTTTTTTTGGTACCATAGATTGAACTCACAATCTCATGCTTCCCAGATCTTTTTGGATTTTTTTTTTTTTTTCGTCTTTTTGAGACAGGGCCTCTCTATTCAGTTCAGGTTGAACTTAAGCTCACTTTGTAGCCTAGGCTAGTCTTGAACTTGCAACGATCCTGTTGCCTCAACCTCCTGAGTTCTGGGATTACAGGTGTGAGCCACCACGCCTGGCTTTTTGGGTTTCTGACACAGGGTCTTGCCTTGTCCTGTAGGCTGTCCTTGAACTCACTATGTAGCCCAGGCTGACCCTGAAGTCACGGCACGTCTCCTGCCTCAGTCTACCAAGTGCTGCAGTTATAGGTGTGTACCACTGAATTCTTTCTTCATGATGCAATGCAATCTCATGTTTCTAAGTCACATTTTCCCACTCAATGCCAGTACTCGGAGACTGAGGCAGGAGGACCAGGAGTTTGAGGTCAGTCTGGGCTACATAGAGAATTCAAGGTTACCATGGACTACATAATGAGACTCTATCTAAACAAGCAAGCAGACTGAATATTACTGTTATATCTGCAGTGTTTTATTTTATTGGAGGGACATAACGTTTTCAAATCCATTTGTGGGAGGGACCCACTAATGAGACTGAAATCTAGAGTGAAAAGATACTTTATAGATATCATGGTACACTCTTCAGTGTAGCTTTTGTTTATAATAACAGGTTTTGATGGGGAGAGCTGGCTATTCTTCCTACACATCACCTTTAAATGTTAGCATTTTCAAGGTGCTATGCTCTACTGGTCTTTCTTAATTTCTCACCCTACGCAATCTTCCTTAGGGGGAATTCAGTCACTCCTACATCCACAATTACTGTATAATTTCCTGAGTTTGGCCTACGCCAAGTTCTCCGTCTCTTAAGTTTCATATCCAAATTTCCAAAAGGTATGCTGTCTAACTCCCTCTAAAGGATAAGAACTTTCACCATAATATGCCAAGAACAAACTTAAGTTTTTAATTGTTAAACATTTTCCATCCTTATTCATACTATCTTGGTTCATTGTCTCTCCCCTCAATTATTGCATTTTAAAATTTTATTTACTTTTTATTTGTCCATATGTGCAGTGCACAATGCTTACACTCCTTGGGAGGAGTTGGTACACGTACATGACACCATTTCTTCACTTCCCAGCACTCATTTCTTTCCTCCTCTTTCCATTTCTTGATCCATTTTCTAATTATTTTTTATTTATATGTTGGGTTTCTTACATAAGAGTGTCTGAGTTGTTTCACTTGACATTATGGTCTCAAGGCGTCTGTTTTCGTATAAGTTCCTCAAATTTATCTTTATGAAAAAGTAGTACTCCACTGTGTATAAATACCACATTTTCTTTGTCCAGTCACCTCTTGATGGACATGTAGGCTGCTATTAAGATATACCTATTAAGGATTGTGCTGCTATAAATGTGTGTGCATGTATCACTGTAAAATGACATTTTTTGTTGTCTTTTTTTGAGACAGGGTCCTGAGTAGTTCACGCTGGCCTTGAATTCATTATGTATTCTATGCCAGTAACACAACTCAGCAGTCCTCCTGCTTCAGCCTCCAGTGTGCTGGGATTACAGGTGTGTGCTATTATCTTGGCAATGTGTTTAACTCTTCGAGGTAAAGCCCTAAAAGAGGAACCACTGGATCAATCGAACTTCTAGTTTTAATTTTTTGAGGACTCTTCGCACTGATTCCCACAGTGGTTGTACTGGTTGGCATTCCCACCAGTGGAGGACTCCGTTCCCCTGCAGTTTCACCAGGATTTGTTATTAATTGATTTCTTGATGGTGGCCACTCTTTCTACGGTAAACTGGAATCTCAGTACTCTTTTACATTTCTCCAATAAGCAGCAATGTTGAGCATTTCTCCATGGCCACTTGTACTTCTGCTTCCATGGAGTATCTATTCATTTCACTTGCCCATTTTTTGACTGGCTCTTTTCTTTTGGGGATTTTTTTTTTTAGTTCTTTAGATATTCTAGATATTAGTCCTCTGTCTGAGAATAGCTGACAAATTTTTTCCCATTATATAGGTTTTCTTTCCACTCCATTAGCTGTTTCTTTTGCTGTGCAGAAGCTTTTTAGTTCAGTATGATTCTCCGTACTACCGTGCCACTGGGACTCTCTGTTTAGAAGTCCTTGCCTACACCTATGTCTTCAAGAGTTTTACCTGTTTTCTCTTTTAGCAGGTTAAGTGTTGCTGTTGTAGCATTTAGTTCTTTGAACCATTTTAACTTCAGTAAATAGTGAGTGATATGGGTCTAGATTCAGAAAGCCTGCAGAGGAGGAAGGGGGAACCAGGAATAAGAATACTCACTTCTCCATGGAGAAAGGAGAGAAGGGATGGAAAAAGAATTCAGATGTGTTAAGTACATATACCAATTCTCCACGCGCAACATAATCATAAGATACTGCAAAAACACTAATAAAAAAATAAAATACACCTTTCTAGCACATGCCTACAATGACAAACCCCTTCACACCAGGCCCTTCCTTCGAGTAGCATAGTCAATCACCAATTCCTCAATGAAGCAGTCTATTAACGACCACAGTGCTCTCCTGGTCTAGTGACCTCCTAAAAGTTCTGCCTCAACTTTGGGTGACATTTTAGAACTCTACTATAATATACTATATGTGTCGTATGTCTATGTCTGTTATACATGTGTGTATATGCATGTTTTGTATGTATGTATTCACTCTCTACTGCTCTTGTAGAAAGATCCTTGGAGATGCTGATTGGATAATATTTGAAGTGGGCTCCTCCTGCTCCTCCCAACACACACACATCAAAAAATAAAGAGGGAAAAATATTGAAAGGTGAAAATCTAAGTTCAGTAGAGGATGAAGAGAGGTGGAGAGTTTTTGTCTTCCTCCACTCCCAGGTCTGTACTTTGCACAGGTGTTATGGTTTATAACTGGATGTCCTCCGAAAAGTATAAGGAGCTCATAGATGGGGTGTTTTGGAAGTGATTGGATCAAGGTTTGATACTCATCAGTGGATCAGTGCACTGAGTTTACAGCTAAATGTGACCTTGGCAGATGAAAATCAAGTGGGTAGAGGTAGGTCACTGGGGCTATGGCCTGACAGAGTGTAGGCCTCCTCCCTTGAATTCTGCTTCCCTATACAATGCCCTGAGGGGATTCTCCTCTGCCATGCCATCGTGTCTTGGGAGTCAGCTTTCTACAGCCTGAAACTTCTACAAACCAGGTCAAAAAAGACCTCTCCTCCTTTTAGTTGTGGGTGTTGTTGGGTATTGTGTCCCAGCAATAAGAAAGCAACTTGGACAACTATTAGGCGGAGCTGCTGTTTGTTTTTCCAGGGGTGGGGAGCTATGGGTAGAAATAAACTTCAAAGAAGGCGAGATTTGAGGGATGCATCTGTCAAAGACCTTTATATTATTATTTGTTGTTTTTGACACAAGGTCTCGCTACGTAGTTCAGGCTAGCCTCTTAACTCGCGATGGTTCTCTTGCCTCAGCCTCCCAGGGTCAGGAATTACAGGCATGCACCACCAGGCGCCGCTAGTCAAAGACCTTTAGAAGGTTTCTGTAGTCCCTCTCCACATGCCTGTGCCTCAGTGCTCAGTAGCTTATTACTGTGTCAAAGTTTTAGTTGCTCCATTTAACTTTCTGTACAAGTGGACCGTGGGTTGAGGCGGGCCAGTGATACTCCACTTTACTGGTGACAACATACTTTACATTTTCTCTTGACACACGTTTCATCTCCGACCACCTGCCCCAAAGTCAGTCATCTAAGAATTACTTTAAGTAACTCCTTTTTTCCTTGTCTGTTTTCTCAGGATCGGCCTTTTAATTCTTCTAGGATGATTTTTCTGACACCCCAAGCATAAAATTCACTCTCGAGCTTTGTACAACCCAGCACCTCCATCCGCTTTATTCCTGACTTCGTTAAACATAACATCCACAGTTGTACGTGTTTCCTCCTCGGTAGCGCTTTCTGTAGGCAGGAGCTGCCTTTCGCGAATTCCCAAGCTCTCCGCGCGGTACGCAGCAGATCCTGGGAACACGTTTATGAAATTCCGGACCTGGGCATCCCCTCGACGTCACTTCCGGTATGCAGTGACGTCACTACGCGGGAGCCGCGTAGGTGGAACAGGTTTAGTTGATGCTGCTAACGTGCACCCAACACGTCCAAAGCAGGCCAAGATTTCAGAGCGGCTACGGGGACCTCAGGAATGCGGTCCTGTGGCTCGGAGACATCACCTATGGGACAAAACACGCAGTAGTCTCCAGAGTGGAAAGAAGCGCGAGCGCCCAGGGGCAACCGGAAGAGGGCGGTCGGGAGGGAGGGAGCGGGAGCAGCTCCGTTCTCGCGAGCTTTCCTCTTCGCTCACCTGCACGGGAGATATCGCCAGAAGAGCCGAGGCAAGATGGCCGTGCCCTGGTTTTCGGTGTGAGACGGTGGCAGCAGCTGCGGTGCTAAAGGGAACAGCGGCGGCTGCGGAGACAGCGGAGGCGGGGACTGTAGTCTGGTATCGTGGGCGCCGGAGCTCCATCTCCTCCTGCGAGCGCGCGACTCCCGGAGCCTCGGCGGGCGCCACCTCTCCGTGCCGCGCGAGATGCGTGTGTCGCGGGCTGGCGGGCGCTCCGGGAGTCCATGCTGCGCCGGACGCTGCTGGCCGCCGCTCTAATCGCTTCCCGCCGCCGCAGCGCCGGCCCCGTCGCCCGCGGCGAGCCTCCCGGGTCCCCTCCCTGCCCCCGGCGGCGTCGGCGGCGATGACCGGGGAGAAGATTCGCTCGCTGCGCAGGGACCACAAGCCCAGCAAAGAGGAGGGGGATCTGCTGGAGCCCGGCGACGAGGAGGCGGCGGCGGCCCTCGGCGGCGCCTTCACCGGGGGCCGGGTCGGCGCCGGCGGCAAGGGCGGCAAAGCCTATCGTCGTATCTTCAGCAACCACCACCACCGGCTGCAGGTGAAGGCGGCCCCGGCCTCCTCCGGAGCCCCCGGCGCCCCGGCCCTGCCGCTGCACAACGCGGTGCCTGCCACCCCTCAGCCCCCGGTCCTTCTCGCCGGCACCAACCCTGTCGCTGTGGTCGCCGACAGAGGCAGTGGCCCCGCACACTACCCGGTGCACGAGTGCGTCTTCAAGGGAGATGTGCGGAGACTCTCCTCCCTTATCCGCACGCATAACATCGGGCAGAAAGACAATCACGGTGAGCAGTGCCAGCCCCTGTGCACCCTCCCTTCCACGAGGCCAGGCTTTGCACCCCCTCAGGCCGCGGCGATCGATGGCAGGCTCTCCTGTATCCAGCTCGGGTACCTGCTCAGCCCGTCCGATCCCGGAATAGCGTACACTCGTGCGGGCGCTGGAGAAAGGCAGCGACCTCGCGCACTTCAAAGTTGCCTGCGGGAAGCTGCTGTTTTATCTCTGAGCCAGGCCTCCAGTATAGGGCTTCTCTCCACAGCCAGTAGTTTTTAGGTTGCCTCATCCAACCTGCCCTTTTTCCTTTGTTTATGGAACTTTATCTTTTCCAGCTTTGGATCTTTATTTTGAGCCTGTAAATTCCCACTTTCCTTATTCCAGGAGCAGGTCTGACCACGACCACCCCTGGTTGTGATTTCTGCCTCTCCTCAGGTTGTTGGCCCTCACGTTTGTCTGCTGGTAGGAAACAGAACCCTTGGATTTCTGAAAGCCACACCGTAGAAATTTGATGGCACTTGATTTCAGGATAATTAAAGTGACCTGTCGGTAGCTGTTTTGTTGGTGTATTTTACGTAGATAATTGCCAGTAATCTCTTGATGACTAAGAGCAGTGTTGTTATTTTTCGTGGTACCTGCATCATAGCTTATTTGGGGAAGTGTAGGATGGTTGTTGTTGAAGGACTCATTTGCCATATCTTGTCAGCTGAGGTTTTTTTCTGTTTCTTTAGTTCAAAGAATAAGGCGATTGGGCTGATTTTTTAGCACCCGGTAAATTTGTTTTTTTCTGGTGTGGAGGGTTGTAAGCAACAGATTTGCTAAGGAAAACTAAAAGTAATGTATTTTCCAACAGTGGTTTAAGGGGCTATTTCAAGCTGAGCTCAAATAGTGCTGACAGCTCAGCTTTTAACTTAGCGTGACATTGTGTTCAGTTAGAATATGCTCAAAATAAGTTCCCATAATTCTCTTTGATTTTAGGCTCCTTATTTAAACTTAGGATAAAATTTAAAATTAGAAAAGTACATCTTGTGTTGTATGGTTCTCAAACAACTGCACTTGTTTTTGAGTTTACAGTATTATGGTTGTATTAATATCACCTATCATTTATCATAAATCACCACGTACCCAACCCAATGTTTTCCTTTCTACATTTATCATTTTATTATTGTAACAAGTGTAATGTTGCTTGCTGATGAGAATTGTGTTCTAACCTTTTGGGAAACAATTGTCAAAGGCTCCCTCCTCCCCTCCATTTATTAGTCAACTACTGGGAAGTTTTTCATTGATCTGTATCAATGAAACTGTACTTCACATGTACAGTTTCATTGAAACTGTACTTCATATGTATGAAATTTCCTTTTAAAAGTTTTTTTGCAAGGACTGTACCGGGACCTTAGCACTGAGCTACATCCCTGACCCTTTGTAAAACAAAATTTTGATTTTGTTTTTGTTTTGTTTTGCAAGACAAGAACTTGCTGTGTAGCTCAAGCTGGTCTTGAACTTGTGGTAGACCTTTTGCTTCAGCCTTCTGACTTCTGGGATTACAGACAGGTCACTACCATGCTCAACAAGAAAGGTGATTTTATTTTGCTTTTGAAACCGTCTCCCAGAATTGCAAAATTGCTCAGGCTTGGCTCAAAGTTGAGATCCTCTCTTCTAGGGCTTCTAGGGGCTGGGATTACAGGCTTGTGCCTCCTGGCCTTTGCCTTTTAATTGCATTACCTTGAAATACCTCAGAAAACACAGAAAGTTCCCTTTGAGAGTAAACTGCTTGAAGAAAGGAGCTGGACCATTCACCAAAGGCCCTGAATTGCTGGGTTGGTGAGCCTGCCAGTTCTTTAACCCGGTAGTTGGGAAGACACTGTTAAAGAATACCTTCAAATCCTTGCCCAGAGACCACTGAAATCTGGCTTCTACATGAAATGTTTCTATTTTGTTTCCCACCTTGTTATTTCCGATGAATGTGTGAACCTCAGCCCTGTGAGAAGCATAACTGTGCCCCGCCCCTCTTCCCCAAACCCAGAGTATACTGCCTTTTGGTTTTCTTTCTGCCTCTGATAACGCTTTGCCTGTTACGTGATTGAAATTAGGACTTTTGCTCTTTATATTTTGTTAATTGAAATGCTTTTCTTAGATTTTAAGAATATTTTTTCTTTAAAATTATAAAAGATAAGTACCTTTTAAATGGCCCAAACAAAACCAAGCTGTATGGCATCTTGGATTGCTGTAGGGAATCCTGCACTCTGGCAGGTGTGTGGTGGAGCCGTGCGAGTGCGCACAAATGGCGTGGCTCTATGTTTGCGGTGGAGGTTGCTTCCACAGCACGAGCAGTGGTGAGAATGTTGTTACCATGACCGTCACAGCTACAGGCTGTTGGGTCAGGCCTGTGCTATGTATGCACTGTCACATATAATCCCCACAGCAACCCTGCAAAGCAGACAGCTTTATCCTTGTTTTTAAGGTGAGAAAAGTGAACCCCAGCGTGCCAGGGAAAATCTAAAGTTACATACTTAGTGTAGGGTGCAAAGCTAGAAGTGAAACTAATAGCTGAGGCTCCTAAGCCCACAATTAGTCTTGTAAATGTTGGTGTCATTTGAAACCCACCATATTGTAAGGAAGTTCGTTCTAACAATGAGTGTGTTTTGATTCATGGCACACACAGGTGTTTAAGGAAGCCACATTTAGTACTTCAGATAGGCTTACAAAGAGATCCTGGTATTGGGCGGCTTTGAGTGTCGTTGTTGAACTCACATCCCTTGTTTTCTGTGCTGCTTTCTATGTGGATCACAGAGAAATGGGCTCCTTTATCTCACGTCTACACCCTCACCTTTGGATATTTGACAAATGCTATCTCCAGTCCAACATTAACACCTCAACTTCCATATCCATATGGCATATAGCTTTTTGTTTTGTTTTTTTGAGGTAGGGTCTTGCTAGGTAGTTCAACTGGCCTTGAACTTGCAGTGTAGCTGGGGCTGGCCTGGAATGCAGTGATCCTCCTGCTACCGCTACCTGAGGGCTGTGATTATAGCTTTTTGCCACTGGTTTGTAAAGTGTTTTAAATGATCCTTGAAACATGGAAAATATACAAGTATATTATACAAGTGAATAAAGTCTCATTTCCTATATTGGCCATTATTTCTGTTTTTTGGTGTAATCAAGTCTTCTCTTTGGTTTTTTGAGGCAGAGCGTCACTATCTAGCTCAGGCTGGCCTTGAACTTGTTTCATTCTCCTGCCTCAGCCTCCTGAGTGCTGGAATTACAGGCATGAGACACACCCAGATAAGCAACTCTTAGCTTCCATGAATGAGTAACAGGCAGTATTTGATCTTCTCTTCCTGGTTTATTTTTCTCAGGTTCCATCTACAATGCCACGAATGGCTGGATTTTATCTTTCTATGACTGCACGATATTCTGCCACATGGTTTGTGTGCAGTCTCTGATAGATGATTTTATTTCTCTTTCATATATGACCCTCCAGAGGGGTTGTCGGGTCACACGATATTCCTGTTTTCAGTTTTTTGTGGAATTCCAACATTGTTGTATATACCAATTGTACTTACTACTTTCCTGTCAACAGTTTGTAAGAATCTTCCTTTTTTGAATCCTTACCAGGATTTGTTATTTTTTGATAATATTCTAACTAGGATGAAATAAGACTTTTATGTTAATTTGTAATGGATTTATTGTAGTGTAAATTTATTGCATGAAATTTAAAGTGTTTCTAATTATAGTATATGTGATTAGATGTATCTATATCAAAGGTTTTGGGATTTTCTCTAGTTTTTAAGAGTCTGCAGGAAGTTGAACATAAACAGGAAGCTGAGGCAGGAGGATCCTGCACATTTGAGGTCAGCTTGGGCTGACCCTATGGGATGGGGGTTGGGAGGTATAAAATACATGAGGGTCGTGAAACTCAATGTTTGAAAACTGGCGGTGTAGAAAAGGGGTATAGATTTTAGGAACCACGATTGTCCCTTTTTCTAGATAATGTAGTGTTGGAAAACTGTTTATTTTCTCAACTGTGAAGCAGGGCTACTTTTGTCGCGGGTTTTGGAGTGAGATCAGGTGTGCAGGGGGCAATGCAAGACCGGCTGTGCAGTGCCTGCACCTGACGTGCTAGCTGCTAGGGCGACGCTTTGCTACTTTAAAATGTGGTCTTGGTGCTGCTGGGGTGTTTCCACTTATTTGTTCAAAAAACTGATTTTTGTTACCTAAAAACAAAAGTGGTCCAGTGAGATTTAGACATGTGATAAGTTGACTGCAGTGATAGGTTTTAGTATGCTTTCTGTAGCACACAGCTGACCCAGCTGGTGGTAGACAGATGAGCTGGCTTCAGCAGCAGGTTAGGACCCGGAGCACTGGGGTTGGTGGCTGGTGGTGACCCAGATGTGTCTTCCTGCAGTGAGTTTCTTTCACCTGGGCAATGGTGGTGATGCTGCTGCTGACCATCATATGGCTATTTAAAATATTAACCACGTGGCATGGCACGTGACCATCTTTTATAGCTATTTCTAATTATATATATATATATATATACATATACATACACACACACACATGCATACATACTTTTGGGTTTTTTGTTTTAGGTTTTTTTATTTAAGGTTTGTTGAGATGGGATCTCATGTAGTTCGGGCTGGCCTTGAACTTGTAGTGATCCTCCTGCCTCAGCCTCCTGTGTGCTGTGATTACTTCTGCCATCATACCTGTCTCTGCTGCTGTTCTTCTCTGTAAACGTGAGATTGGGTTGTTGAACTCAGGAGATCATTTCTGGCTCACTCATCGTTTGATAAAATGATTAATGTGGATTTGTAATGGGAAGTTTTATTTGCAACTTTAGTGTGAGCTGATGTGTATACCCTTTTTTCTGGTGTTCCTGGAGGATTTAATAAAACAGCAATTGTCTAGAAGCACGAACACCATGATTTCTTCCCCCTGAGTGCTCTGTCTGGACTCTGGACTCAAGGTTTTCCTTAACTTATTTTTTGAACAAATTACACCCTCATGCTG